TATATATAACCTGAACTAAAGAAACTTTCTCGACATGTTATTTTAAAGCTTGATAAAATTTCTCCAGATAATCATTGCTGAAGAGCAAATATTGTGTTACCTTACAGCACAGAAGTCTCCTCTCACCCGTCTTTCCTGCTTGAGCTCCCTGTTGGTCATTAACTGCCTCTGCTGAATAGTTTCTTCCATTATCCCAACTGCAGATCTGTCCTCACTAGACAATAGCCAGCTCTGCTGGCAGATGAGTGCATTTTGAATTAGGTATTCTCTATTCTTACAGATTTACCTAATGGAAATTTGTAACATGTAGTAATCCAACTTCCAAAAAAAGATACAGAATGATGTAAGGAAAAATATTTAAATTTTTAGAAGAGCAAACACGCTGCATACTCCTCTTTCAACTTTCCCAATTCTCTAAGTTTTTACTTTGGCACCCACACTGCTAGTAAAATATATGGGAAGTTAAGTGTCTTAAAAGGATTCAGCAATCTAAATACCTCCCTGAATATTGTCCAAAATGTCTTATTTGGAATCAGCCAAAGTAACTAAAAATATTTCCCTTGACTTCAGTAAAGTTTGGATCAAACTCTTAATGTGTGACTGTTTTGCTTGTCTTAGTGTAAAACAGACCTTAATATTGAACATGTTAAAGGAACATCCTGCTTTTTCATTCTCCCTTCTTTCTCTTCAGCCTTGTCCTTTCCATAGCTAGTTTTTGTGCTTTTTTTGTGCTTATGTTTTCTTTTTGTGTCTATCTGTGACACAGATACAAATAAGACACAGATTTACCCCACTTTATTTTGGATACTTAGCAGAGGGTCCTAAGCCGGAGCCTCATGATGCCAAAGAAGAACTGGGTATCTCTTGAAGGCAACTCAACAGATCTAAAGGCTGAAGAACATCTTTTTGTCTCTCCTTCTCTGTGAACTAGACATGAGCCTATGGAAATGGGTTCCTTGCTTGACCCCTAGTGCAGGACCTACAGCTGGGCAGGAAAAACCTAAGTTCAGGCATGCAACCACACCTAGTATCCACTGGCAACACTGGATGACCACTCCATTAAAATGATTCCACCCCATTTTTCCTGTAAGAACAACCCTATCCAGGAGTGTGGCAGGGTCAAAACAGAGGACACAGTCACACATGTCCAAGTCCTCTTCCCAACCTTGTCAAACAAGCAGAACTCTCTTTCTATTCCTTTTCTCAGTAGTGAATCAACACCTCATTTCCCACAAGCAGGGCAGGGAGACAAAAAAAAAAGGAATGCCAGTTCCTCTCCTCCTTGTCCTCAGGTTAAAAAGCATAACATAAACACAACTCTCTCTGTTTTCTCCTTATCACCTATTTACTGAAGGAGGCACCGCGCCCTTGGTGCTGGGGTTGTGGTTTCAGGATATGCCTTGCTGTGATCAGCTCTGCACAAGCACAGCTGATCTGCTGCTCTCCCCTGTGTTGGACTCAGACCCAACCCCCCTCAACCCTCCCCTCCCAGGTTAAAAAGCATAACATAAACACAACTCTCTCTGTTTTCTCCTTATCACCTATTTACTGAAGGAGGCACCGCGCCCTTGGTGCTGGGGTTGTGGTTTCAGGATATGCCTTGCTGTGATCAGCTCTGCACAAGCACAGCTGATCTGCTGCTCTCCCCTGTGTTGGACTCAGACCCAACCCCCCTCAACCCTCCCCTCCCCAGACACTCTAAGCTTGTCACAAGGAAATGAATGGATTTGCTTTCCTTTCCTCTCTAGTTCTTTCTTGCAAGGGAGAAGAACAGCTGCTGCCCTCCCTATCCCCAGGGAGATCTCCCCACTGCTCCTCTAGACAGAGCATTTATAACTAGATGTAAAAGAGAAAAGAAATCAAAATTCTGGTGTTTGACAATGACAAACACTGAGACCAGGGTTTTTGAACTCTATTGACCATTAATTTATAGCACAGAAACTGTTGCTAAACTTGTAAAATTCATGTGATGGCCATCTAATTTGGCCTTTGTAGCTTGGGGAGTTATTGCCTGAGGAAGAAGAAGATTTTTGTGGTTATCATCTACACCCCCTTTATGAATGGCCAGTTTTAGGGCTTTTGGATAGGAGAAGCACCCATCCATCAGCATTTTGTGGAAGCAAAAGGGAAAGACCAAATTTAAGTGCTACCGAAACAAGACCTCCCATGTTCAATGGCAGTTGGACCTCTCTAGGAAACCACTTGGGTGGATACCCTGCCCCATGTGGCTGAGCTGTTCCCTCTGCCAGTGGTTTCAGAGGAAAAGATCACGTATCACACACACAGCCAGAGTCTACTGGAGTCAACAACTTTATTTGCTCTTCTTCCCCAAAATGTTTTGAATTAACCCATCAAAATTTCCATAACAGTGGCAGGATGGAACAGCTGCAGGCACCAGGCTATTGGGAGGTAAGAAGCCAACTCACAGAGTAACATGAGGGTCATGATACTAAACGGCTCAGGAATCATCTGAATATCAGATTTTATTTTGTTTTCAAAAACTGCCTCATATTCTGAATTAACTGTAGTGCCACAGCACTCAAAACCATTTCAACACAATCACCTAAATGATTTCAGAAGAGGTATTGTAATTGCAGTTTTATGTCCCAAATATCCCTGTGACTTCAAATGGGCAGAAGATTTCAAATTACCTCAAGTTTCAAATGACAGTCAGGAACTGCCTGCAAGAAAGGGGCCATAGAAAAGATGTGAAACACTTGTTCTCAAGAGCATCAGGTGAAGTAAGTGACTAGAAGGCAATTTCCATTTATAGTACCGTGTGTACTGCAGTGGCTGTGGTACTGCCTCTAACAGTGGGATGATTTCAAGTTTAAAAGTGTATTTATCCTTTTTTTTCTCCTATTATGGTACAGCAACAATAGTAAAATTACAACATTTTGAGGAGGAGGAGTTGTGGCCAGGCATTTTTTAGGCAGCACGATGTGAGCACCTGGCTGGGAGAGGGCTGGAACCTGCACCCTTGTTACCTGTGGCTGCCTCCTATCCTGCTCCAGTTTACATCTGACAATTCAGGATTCAACCCATTTTGGCACAGCAAAAGGAGAAACATGCAGAAAGAGCATCTGGGATTCTATCAGGCAGGATCTGAGCACTGCCTAGTGCAACAGGTAATGCTCACACCTTCAGAGAGAGGATTTCTCTTGCTACACATATCTCTCACTGTTTCCATAGATTTTCATTGTAGTCATCATCAGGTTACACAAATGATTAATTAGGTATTTAAAATAAACCACATTCACAGAAGCCAAAACAACACTGGTATATGCACAAACATATGCACATTGATCAACACGTCACCTGAGGTCCTGAGAACCACAAAACATCATGAAACTGCCACTGATTTCAGTGTTAAATTGCTGTCAGAACCCACTTTTCAGCAACTTGGATGTACAAAATCGAACATAAGCAAAACTGATCACAACCAGAATGTCCTAAAGCTCCAAAATGAGGGTGGGGAGGAAGGACCATCCCTATGACATAGATCACTCTGGTACCAGTCAGGGGCTGAATACTGCTATAAGCAATTGGCTGCCTGAGATCACTAGCACAAACACCATCACCACCACCACCAATAAGCAATTGGCTGCCTGAGATGAGTAGCACAAACACCATCACCACCACCACTCCACTACATCTTTTATAGATTACAGGTGTTAAATTTCTATTTGAAAAAAAAAAAAAAAGAAGGAGGAATTAAAAGTTTCTACTTACTGCATTGAGACCCAGGGAGTTATCTGGAAGAGACGAGGTGACTCCTGAGAGAATAGCTGTGGCCACCACTGCCCCCAGGCACTGGGCAAGGATGTACATGAGTGCCTTGAAGATGCTGATCTGGCAGCTGAGCAGGAGCCCCAGGGTCACAGCTGGGTTCAGGTGTGCACCGCTGATGTGGCCCACGCTTTGTGCCATGGTGGCAATGGATAACCCAAAAGCCAGCGAAACTTTCACATTGTCCTGAGACCTCGTTGACGTTTTGTTGCCCACAACAGGGAAGTTAAAACCCAGAGCTGAGCCAATGCTGATAAAAATAAAAAGGGTCATGGCAAGGAACTCAGCCACCACTGCCCTCCAGAACGCTTTCTTTTTGAATTCACTAGCCATCTTTCCTCTTTCTCTCTCTCTCTCCCCTCCTCACTTTCCCTTCTCCCTCTCTCCCTTCCTTTGCCTGATATTTTCCCTCTGAGGTCTGAAGAGAAATCTGGAGGAAAAATACAGTCCTTGGATTATTTATAGGGCTTTGGGTGGTCTGTAGGAGGGAAGGGGTGTTGCACAAAAGGAGGAAAGAACATCTACATAGATGCTGACTGCTAGATTGATGTAAGACACTGTTTGCCTGCCAAAGTTTTTTCTTCCTTTTTTTTTTTTTTCTTTTCCCCTCCCTTAACAGCGTTCGATCTCCACTGCCGTTTTTAAGAGGCTTTTTAAAATTCTTGGAAAAATCTTTAGGAGTGCCTTTAGGAATTTCACCGTCACTGCTTTTAACTCCTGTGTCATCATTCAGCACACGGTTTGGAAGGACAGCTTTGATGGGAATTCTGTCCCGAGCTGGACTGAAACAAAAAGCAAAGTTCTCTGTGCAGGCTGCTAAGTTAGTCACGCTCAGCTTCAGCGGCAGCAGAGAACAGCTGAAAGTAGTAAATAAGACTGACAACTAAATCCACACTCTAGAGACTCCAGTACCTCTTGTTTCATTTGAAAACAGGTAGAAATGTCCCTTCTTCTGGCTCTGTGGGCACTTGGAGCAGTTTCAGATGCCAAGTCTGATGGCTGTGTGGACACACACACGGATTTACATGGCTCACACAAGCTGCTGTGAACGGATGAATGGTGGGATCAGTTTACTTTGTGTAAATCACTGTGTAAAACAGCACTGTGAGTAAACTGGAAGCTTTCTATGGCTGTAATCTGGATGCTGAGGGGGAGATCTTTGGGAGGGGGTTAAGTTTTTTTTAATTTATGTCATTTTTTTCACTTTTTTTCTTTCAAACACGGAGGTGTCTCAGGGCTTCCCCAGGCTTACAATTCTGACTTGCAGGAACAAAAAGCCAATTTGAGAGCTTTCTAGCTCACATCCTGCAGTGAGAACCTATCTCTCACCACTCTGCTGAAGGTCAGCTCAGCTGTCCTGGTTGTCACCAGGGAGACTGGCTGGGGCCACACTGAGCCACAGGACTGGCTGGAGACAGAGACAGAGGAGAGAGCAAGGGAGAAGGGAAATTACATGCTTGGTTTTGCAGACAAAATGAATGTCCCAGCAGTGCCAGAGTCTGCCTGCCTGGTTTTATCACACCAGGATTTGTATACATGCCTCAGATTAACCCCTGTGCTGTCAGATCTCTACCTGCTTAAATGGCTTGGAGTATCTCTATCTGTAAATCAGGGGGTTTGCTCTGACTTCAAACCACGAAAAATCTGATCCAGTGTCAGAAACTAATTCCCCAGGCACATCTTGAAGGATAGGTATTTCAAATCATCGTCCTTCTCTGCCTTATTTCTCCCTCTTCTTACTTTAATGCACTGGTAACATCTTCTAAATTGTACTTAAATTAATTCAAGGCTTTTTCACTTGGACAATATGCCAGTAAGAAGAAAAAAATCAAATACACACCTGGATAGTATTAGACAGTCAATAAGGGGTTTAAGAATATATTTGGTTTTCAAAAGATGATTCAGATACAATGCTGAAAACTGTTTAAATAAAAATCCAGATGTCTGCAGCCTGTCATCCCCAAGTTTTTATTCTTTCTAGGCATCAGATGTTCTTGATTTTCCATATAGTCAACTTTATTTCCTTCTGTTTTATAATACCCTTACACAACAGAACTGTGCCAGTGAAAAAAGGAAAAAGCAAAGAAATAGGAACAAATTAATCATTGGTTTTGCCCTTCTAATTAAAGTGGGACTTCAATGAGGAACCATGTGACAGACAAATCAAAAATCAAATTTAGCCAAATATTGCTACATGGTGCAATTTTAATATAATGTGTATTTGATTCTAGTTGTATTCTGTTCAGTGGAACTTTTTATTACTACAAAGAGTTTCCGAGACTTGATGATTTTCAGTGATCAGCTGTTCTCATCCTACCAAGCAGATGCCCAAGACACAGGGCATATATCACACATCCCAGGAACTGGAGACAGCAGCTCTATGAATAGTTTACAAAAGTTTCCATGTGTCCAAAATTGGCACCTGTGGGATGGAGCTGCCTAGGTATTCAGCCATGTCCATGGGAAATTCTCTCTTTACTCACTTCTTCCTACAATTGGGAACTGGATGACTAAACAACCTCTGTAACAGTACTGGTAGGTGAGAAAGAATCTCTCAAAGGATAATTTCTAGTAGACAGGAAAATAGACTGGAAAATATTGCAAAATGCTTCCCTGATTTCTACATTTTCCTCTAGATATTCCTGACTGGTCTGTGCCAGAGACAGGGTACAAGGAAATCCAGACCTTTAGTCTAACCAGTGTCAAGAGAGAACAACACTCAAATTAAATGTGCCTTAAGAGTAGTGGGTAGCACTCACCTTGGTGTTGAGCCCATTGGCCACTCCACACTTTTATTTTCATCCTGGGCCTTTCCACTGGTCTCTTCATAACTGTTACCCACCTCTCATTTTATATTTTGGATCTTGGTGCCATAATAACTCAATGAGATCACCATTCAGACAGAAAAGAAAAAAAATCTGAAATTGATTAAAGGCAGAAACAGTTACAGGGAATATACACATATCAAAGAGATGTGTGGAGATAATATCTAATTTTTTTCATCCTTGCTCTGATGTAGAGTAAATCATGATCATCTCTGCTGTGTTGTTTCTAATTGCTTGTACAGGGATGGTACCCAGGGCCCCTACACCTTCTTACTGAGCAGAAAGACAGCAGAGACAGATGTGTCCTATGTGTAGAAGAAACACCAAGTGGGGAAACAGAAGGAGATGGCGACAAAAGAACAAATATTCTGCACGAGAAGTAGAGGGAATTGTGGACAAATTAAATCATGCTACAGTATAAGTGTAATGAGGAAAGAGGAAAGAGAAAACAAGAGAACCACACAGCACTTGGACTGCTTCAGAAATGTTCATCACAACACAGATCTGATTGGTGCTCCACTCATTATGCCACTTTTCCACAAAACAAGCTCCATCTCATGCTACTCAGGTTGATGGCAAAGACCTCAGAGTTTGGCCAAGTAACTGGGGACTGTATACTCAGTCCCCATAACCACTAGAAGCTAAAAAAAGAGACAAACCTCAGATTCCCAAATATCAGATAGGCTGAGGGTTGTGCAGCTTTTCTAGGCATGGTTTTAGCTTAGGCACCAAACTGCACTTGAATGTGGGGTTTGGATTTTTCTAGAAATAGAGATGACTGCCAACCTTATGTAAGTGTTTAGGGCAGGCAATTAAGAACAGATCTGATGGGAACAAGAGGGATAAAGTAGCTTTTTAGCTGAGGGGTGATTCTTCAGAGATGATTTAAAGCAGTGTACTCCCAAAAACTCTTTGGTTTTGTTACACTAGAAACAGTTGAGTGAAAAATCGAGCTCGTGGGACTGAATATTTAATTGCTGAGATCCAACAACCAGCTCAGTTTTTGTCTGAAACAAATCAGGTTTTGAAGGGCTGTAGCACAATTCTCACTTATCATTTCAGTCAGAAAACAAATCTACTTGTTGTTTAAGTGGTAGGCTTTGTTCTGCATTCCCACATGTCAAATTGCTCAGGATCTCTGCGTTTTGAACAGGAAACAAATGTCAGCCACTGCAAATTTGGTCTTGGCTAACATGAATTCTCCGGGAATTTTCCTCTTAGGTGAAGGAACAGTCAAAGTCGAAGGGCAAAAGGAATATATTTCAGTCCAACTGTCAAATGATTGGGAGAACCAGGGGAACTTCAGCAAACTACAATTATTCTTCTCTTGAGAAGAATTAGTTATCCTGTGACCCTATCAGACAAGTCTTTTTGCAGGCAAAAAAGCAATTCTAGGAATACTCAGTTACAAATAGTTTCAAGGATAACAGCAATTCTACTTCTGCCCATAGACTTTTACCCCTTTGAGGCATCAATGACTTTCACCACCATGGAGAAAAGCGAAGTCATGATGCAATGAAGAGCTAGAAGATTCGTGTATTCTTGCCCCAGCACCTCAGAAATGGAAAGGAGTCCAGCAGTGCAGGCTGGAATGAAAGGATACAGAAAGTTGTAGTTCACAGGTGCAGTTTCCTATAAGAATAATGCCATGGTCTTAAACAGATTTGCACCAATATTCAGGAGCTGCTTCACTTTCTGGCTAGAAGGAGAACCTCTCACATTTTGCTAATGTAAAATGTATGAGGTGGCAATTGTGTCAATGTAAAGACACTTGGGACTTTCTCTGCAAGAGATGCCTGAGCACATCTGACACCTGAGAGCATGAGTAAGGTGTCCAAGAACTGGGAGGAACTTTAGACTGAATCCTTGACTTAATGCTCCTAAATCCAGGAAAGATGGAAGATTTCAGACATACTCCCCTCTTCAGCATTTTCTATCAGCCAGTCTAAGCATCCACTTGTTCCATATGCCAACTGATGAAAACTCCTTTCTTAGGTACTCAGCTGAGTTTGTTCCCTGTATGGAAAGCTCAGAGCCTGCAATATCCCCTTACAGACCTGGACACTTAATTTATTTTGTAAACCTGGACCTGAATTCTCAGAAACTCACCTGGAAGGATCAGAAGTTATTTAACAACCACATGAATCACCTGTTGAGCTGGGAGCCAAGATGGGATGTCACCCTCTACTGAGCAAAATTCAGAGGCACAAATTTGTCATGAATAATTTTCATTTAGGTACTTCATGATTCAGTGAAATCAAAGCAGGTTCTAAAGATTGACCAATTTTTTCTTTTCTCAGAAACTTAAAATATCTGCATAATCCTCCATGTTCACTTAGATAACATAATTATCTTTTGATGTTGTTTTTGTCTTAATTTTATTTTGTGTTCATTATATATGGATGTGTTGAACCTCCTTACTACAGCACTTTCCAGTTTCTGGTCTTCATTTTTTTTCTCATAATAAAACAATAGAAGATAGAAGTTTATCAGTGAATATATAACTGGACAAAACTTGTGGTTGTATAATAAAATGAGTAAAATTCAATATCAGCAAATACAAACCTATTTACATCAATGACCAACTTAGTCCAGATAGAC